AACACTCTACGGAAATACGCGAGTGGAGGACTATCATATTATTACTAGTAAATTTGTTAATCCGTATGATTGGAGACACGTCCTCGGAGAACACTCCACAGAGATACGCGAGTGGAGGACTACACCCGTTACCAGAATCTCTGGGATTTAGAGAGCGTGACTTGAGTGTATAGATCTATACGGGGCTGACTACCCCACACCTGGCTGCTAGCTACAGTCGAACCGAAAGGTTCAAGGGTGACGAGAGTCATAAGGTGATGTGGACTACTTATTGCCACATTTAGTCTATTGTATGGTTATGGAACTCGCAATTAGGATAACAGAGATTTACTATATAGTAATAATGAATAACATAATACATCTTTTACATTGATAACCAACAGTCAAGAAAGTATGGGACTTTCCTGGGGAACGTTTACATAACAAGAAACGGGTAACAAACCGGATAACTTTACATCTTTCACAATAGGTAAAACACAATCAGTAAGGTATGGGACTTTACTGGGAATACATTGGTACCTAACCAGAACAGTATATCCAACCAGATAACCTAACTGTACATTTTCACAAGGGTAAACATGTTTTCAATGTACAACTTTACTTTACATGTTGAGAAACAATAACCAACCTTTTTAAGAAAATATGGGATTTTCTTGGTGTGCGTAACATTTCAGAAACAGAAAGGAAACTCGAACATTTTCATAAAACAAAAACTGCTTATGAACTCACCAGCATTATGCTGATTTTCAAGCCGCTTGTGTTCTCAGGTCAACATTAGAACAGATATCCGAAGATCATTTTGTTCCAGGTTGGAGTGCACAGAAGATCAGTTCATTTTGTTATTATATACTATGTATCACAACTTTATAACTTTACTATTGTAACAACTACAAAACTTTTCAATATGTAATATATGGTTGTTCTACTTTACTTACTATGTGCATTGGATTTGATACTCAACATGGAGTCAACCCCGGAAATGTTTCCGCCTTCGGTTTTCAGGATGTGACATAAAAGATTATCAAAGCATTGGGTATTAGAAATATGAACTTAAAGAAATTCAACAGGCATTGTTATTTCTGAAAGTTAAGCTGTTTCTGAATGCTTGTCAAAGCTAGTGGGAGCATAAGTGTTATGTTGATAATATTCATCATGATAGTGGGAGCACAAAAGTTGTGCTGGTATGATTATTAAGGGAAGTATTACAAGTTAGCAATATTAATTATAGAAAACAAGAGTCATACTTTGCAAAGTAGTTGCATATAAAGTTGTTTTTCTATAATTAAGGGAGAGAATATTATGCTTCATTTCAAATATAAAGGCTTAGGTTGTGGAATGTTAATATTTTTAGTCAAAGATACATAGTGTGTTCTTAAATTTCGATTATGATTACGGCACTCCTCTTCATAGTTCGAAATGTGAGAACGTAGCACACAAAATATTATGACAGAAGATTGATAAAGTATTAAATCTTCCTGTAAGACATTATGCATCGTGTCCCGTACGCTTTGGGTATAAGATCGAATTGCAAATGCTATAATATTTGACCATTCTAAAATTTTCCAAATGTCCAGCACATTTAGAGGGAAAAGGACAAGAATCGGTTTTGACTAAGATAATTAAACAACTATCAAAGGATGATCCAAAGCTTGCTGAGGATTGATCGCTTGTGAGTAGTTGGAAGTATGATATTGGATGGAGCGTATCGACATTATTATGAATAGATAAGATTCTATTAAGAATGAGTTGTGATATGGTAAGTATGGAAAGGTTTCCATATTGGGAGTTGCATATTGAGAATCAATGTCTATATTAGAAACTTTTATGCAAAAGGATGTTCAAAGGAATGTACTTTGAGTGAGAGACATCACATCTATGAAATTGTCTTGTAACAATTTCCGATAGAGAGCTTTGTAATATCATTGGCAATAGTCATTGTGACTTTAGTGCAGTAACATTACGAAAGGATCATCGCATAAAATGTTAGAATCTAACATATTCTATAAGTGGCCAGAATTTGATATTCTTTCACTTGTGAAAAGGATTAGGAGTTGTAAAATGAGTATGATTGGAAATGTGTTCATTTGATCTATTTCACAAAGTAAGAACCATAGGTAAACATTGTGTGCATGAGCATGGGACAAGTGTAATAATTCAAGTAAGAAGTTGATTACCCATATGGGATTAGTATTATTCTTGTGTTTCACTTTGCATGTTTTGACTTCCTGAATAATTTAATTGGTTAAGGACAGTCAAATTATTCAAACGGGCCACAGTCGTTCATATGTTGGAAGTAGATATGAAAGAAGATTGTCGTTAATTGGTGTGTGGATTGTCTAAAGAGTATTAGACGTAAGCAATTGTTTGCTGCAACGTTCATGAGCGCTTGTGAATATGATTTGAGCATTGGATTAAACCCACGCTCACTTGGATCACTTCATGGATTTCATCACGAGTGATTAGTGAGACGATAACATCTTATATTCTTGAAACCGAGATGTGTGAGTTGTATCTTACGAGTCGGTTGCACATTGATAACATGTAAACACACCAGTAACTTGGTATTATAAAACATATTATTGCGTGTGATTTGGTAAGTGCAAGCGAGCATTGAGTCAAAGTTTATCCGTTCCTTTTATCTAAAGTAGGATAAAAGCGATATCTGTGGGCCCCTCGATGATTTAGTGATGACACCTAAGCGCTTGGCCAAGCCGATACTAAATTGATGTGTTCAATTGTAGTCTGTTGTCAGTCGTCATAAATCTGAATTCAGGAAACAGCACATAGACAGAGAGAATGATTTAGATCCATGTCTCAGTCTATACGATAATATCTAGAATGGAGGAATATATGATCCCTTATCTAAAGGACACACATATATGATAAGATCAGAGTAGACAGCGGCTTGGAAAGCTACAATTACAGATCAGGATCTGAAGTCATATGCATAATAGTTATTAGACTTATCCAAGTGGGAGACTGTTGGATTAGTGTCTAAGTCCATAACTATTTTTGTATGTACTTGACCCGATGGTGCATGGTCCTTTTGGGTTGCCTTCATCAAAGCAACTTGATAGGATGAATTGGGGAGAGAAAGGATTAATTGTGATTTATTAATATATTATGAGAATAATATATTAAAGGAGAAATCAATTGTTTAATTAATATTAGTCAAGAAATAATAAGAATTAAGTTTGTGGCTAAAAGACATTAGTTAAACTTAAGGGATTAAAACTGTTAATTGTATGATAGTTGAATATTGGGCTAATGGACTCCATATGAGAGGAGTGGACGAATTCTATGGGGGAAACTCATTAGAAATCATCCAAGGCCTTTAAGAAAGGAGTCCATGGATTGCTTAGGGCCTAAGCATCCAAATTAGGGTTTCCTTGTTAGATAACCCTAATAGCCTTACTATTTAAGGACCCCTTGGGCACCAAAAAATGTGGGCAACTAAATCCTTAGGGTTTCTACACGTTTTTGGGTGTCTTCTCTCTCCTTATTCTTCATCCTCTTGCTCTTGGTGTTTGTGAGCCATTAGAGGAGTAACATTTGTGACTCTAAGCTTTCTAAAGTCAATACAAGAAGGATTTGAGATTGTTATTGCAACATAACAATCAAGGTAATATCTTAAACCTACTTCTTATGTTAATATGATTACTTGTATGCTAGAATTAGGGTTTTAAAGTCTTGGATGAATAGCATGTACAATAGACAAACCTAGATCCAAGCATTAGGGTTTGTATGAGCACATAGGATGTTCTTATGGCTAAAACCCATTAGTTACAAACCCATGGGTCATGGAAATGAAGAGTCATGACACATTAGGTTTTACATGGTGTAACCCTAGATGTGTCACATTATATAAGTAACACCTTCTCCACCAAAATCTGCTACACAAGAACATAAGAGGGCTAGGCCGATTTTACAAGTGTGTGCATTCTCTCAAAAGTCATTCCAAGGCATTTGGTGTTGTGTGAAGCATTTGAGGCATCACACTTGGGGTGCTAGGCTCACAAGGTTTCAAGGAATCAAAATCAACTACAAGGTATGTAATTCTAGCCATCCTTTAAGGATAAAAGTTCCTTATGTATGCTAGATAGGATTATGAACCTTGGAAACCATATTTTGCATGTATTTTAGACAAACATAGATCCAAGGTTTTTCTAGGGTTGCATGTACACTTAGGGGTGTTAGAATGCTCAAAACCCATCAGTGGTATTAGAGCCTAGGCTTGTTTGTGAATACTTGATGCAAAATAGTGTTGAAAGTCGATTTTTTGATGTCTACTCAGGGGACTCGACGAGTCCATGGGGAGGACTTGACGAGTCCAAGTGAAAATGCAACCAACTTGGCGAGTCAGTTCATGCACTCGACGAGTTGGACATGCAGAATGCAGAAATTCGATTTGTGCTGCTGGAAATGGACTAGAAACATTACCCTGAACTGTTTTGGTGTTATAAAACTTGTTTTAGATGGTGTAATGGTTGTTCTAATCCATTTACAATGGCTAATATCATTTTTTTCATGATTATATGTGTTCATATGTTCTTGAAACTTAAGTTTTTAATAGATCATAGGAATTACTTGTTTAAATGTTTAATTCATGATCTTTATGTGTTTTAATGGAGTCCATAACTTGTCCTCAAGTTATGGATCACTACTAGAAAATAGGCCTTTAATGACGCGCAATTTCTGACACGCACGGATTTACGATACGTAAAAGTGTGTGAGGTAAAAATAATGTCATTTCTTCAAAATTTTGAAGGATTTAGGTCGCGTTTTTTGCGTGCCCTGCAATTTGTGTTAGAATAAAAACACGGAGGGCGCTTAATATAAAATGTGCGTCATCTCAGCATGTCACTTTATAATTTTTTAACGCAACGCGCGTTTTTAATAGCCTTGGGGGGAAATGGAATCCCCAAAAATTAAAACAACCCCCCCCCCCCCCCCCCCCCCCCCATTCGATCCAATCTCAGTCTCCCTTATTCCCTCTGCTGATGCCTCCACCTTCTACCGTTGAATTAGCAAGAAAGAAGCCCTATGGCCTTCGTCTTCACCCACCTCCAGCACCCCCAACCCTACTTCGATCATCCATCACAATTAAAGCTTTCTCTACAAGAGAACCTCCAACTACATCCTCCACATTAAGAAAAACCCTAATTGGCAGCCACATTTTGACGTCAGGTACCCTTGGGATGAAAGCCTAATTGGCGGCCACATTTCTACGTCGGGGTCCCCTAGGGCTTTTTCTGTTAGGTTCGATTGCTCATATTTAGTTCATACATCCCCTCTAACCTTAGCAACCTAAAACAGCCCTAATCTTTTGTTCGTTCGTCTTGGCGGCTAGAAAAGGAGTTGTTCAAGTCTTTGTATGAGGCTATCGGATTTTTGAGTCACCATCGAGGGAGGAGGAGGAAGAGGACCTCGGGAAAAACTTTTCTCTAGTCTAAGGTATCGATGCCTATTCTTTTCTTCTCCTTCTTTTATGTTTTCCCCGCGAAGCACCACCTAACACCATGGTCGGCAGCCTAGGCTTCTGGCGTTTTTCTCTGCCACCACCCATCACCATTAAGTGGTTATGGTTGTATGTGTGGGTGTTCTAATGTGTATGGTATTCAGATTCATATTCTAATTCATTAGCTTGTGTGTACATGATTTTTTTTCTTTTTGTCCACCACTGTGAACCACCATAAGACCACCACCAGTGACCTCCTGCCGCCGGTGTGTGACACCTCCTGCTACCATGGGTAGGTGGATCTGGATTATGTGTTCGTAATATCTTATGTGAACTTTTCAATGTTAAATTTAGGAGAATCATGTATGTCGTTAGTTTCTATTAATCGTATGTGTTGACTTCAAGATTTGTTTCTCCAGTGTTGTTTGTATGCACATATATATATATATATATATATATATATATATATATATATATATATATATATATATATATATATATATATTACGTGTGTGTGCCTGCCTCTAGATTTACAGTTCATTGAAGAATACATGTATGTAATGAAAATGTGTGAAATGCATTGTGGTGCTGGTGGCATAGTTATGGCCCTGTCATCCCAGCAACAAGTGGGTTGGGTTGTGTACATAGTTTGGTTATGGATGGGTATAAGCAAAAGTAAAGAAGTGACATAGTTTGTCCTTGTAATAAATACAGGCAGCCTTATAAAAAAATCTGTTGATGTTCATTTTATGGTATAATGAATCTGTAGTATCTCTTTCAGGGAGGTCGAAAAGGGAAGAAGAGAGCATCTTTGGTGAGATAGATTTCATGAGTACCATAATTACTCAAGATGATGGATACAGCATATCTAAAGGAAAAGGAGCTGAAACAAAAAGTAGTAGCAGTAATAGAAAGAAAATGAACCATAATATTAATATTAATAATAATAGTAATAAAGAAAAGATGAAAACATCATCATCATGTAATGTGCAAGGCAAAGATTGGTTCCTCTGAGCCAAGTTGTAGCATCGGTGGGCTTAAATCATCTCTAAAATCTTCAAGTAGGACAAATCAGTCTCTGAAATCTTCAAGCAGAAGCCTGTGCTGCAGAAGTTATTGCTTCAGGGGAATCTGATGCTCCTGATGTTGGTAAGTAAGTTTCAGATTTCCTTTTTTTTTGGTCTAATAACAAAACAAACATCCTAAAATTTTGCTTTTTATAAATACCATTACTACTCTTTCTTTGGATACCAGTTTCTGCAGCTGGAATTGTAATCCTGCCACCTCCTGCTGATGGGTATGGTGCAGAAACAGAAGTAGAAGCATCCCGATTGAAATGGCCCAAAAAACCGGTATCACAGAGTCCGACTTCTTCGATTCCTTCGAGGATTCTTTGTTTGATGCTCCGCCAGAGGAATTTATCCCAGATGTAACTACAATTTCAACATTCTTTTATAATTTACTTTAAGTGCAAGAAATATAACAACCTTCTTCTTCTTCCATCTATTTCTTTCTTTATTACACAGTTGAAGTTGTTTGTCCCATTGCTGAGATTTCTGATAACAAGTTGGTTGCTGTTGATGCTAAGTTTTATATATATATATATATATATATATATATATATATATATATATATATATATATCAAAAGTTGAGAATTAAAAAGAGTTAAGTATGTTGTGTTTAATTAAAGTGTTGTTGACTTGTTGTAGGATCTTTATCTCCTATTGGGGGCTCTGGTAGTTTCCTTGAAGGAGATGATAACAACATCAGACTAAATGTTGAAGCAATTCGCTCAGCACTGAATGAGATGGACCCACTACTACCACTGTGGACCCCACATTACCCGATGGAAATGGAAGTAAGTTTATTTAAGTCTCTCCTTTAAGATGTTCACATTACCCGATGGAAATGGAAGTAAGTTTATTTAAGTCTCTCATTTAAGATGTTAAATATTTTTGTTGCATATATTTAGGAAAATTAGTTTATGTTTTTAATTTTTAATTTGTGTGTGTGTGTGCAGAATATAGTCTGATTGGGCTAGTGAGCCACATAGGCAGCAACATACAGTGTGGGCATTATGTAGCCCACGTGTACAAAGAAGGAAGATAGGCTAATGTGTACAAAGTCCAAAAAATATTCTTTGGATTGATGAAATTGAAGAAGGAATGGAATCATTCATTCCCTTCTATACAAATTCCTAACTTTTTTTTCTTCTTTGTGTTATTATTATTCAGCTGACTATGGCAAGCATAAAGATGAATAGGCCTGAAACTGCTGAAAATGCAGTAAAAGTTGCTGAAAGAAGAATAGCAAGAGACAAATGGCCAAAATATTATGACACCAAAAGAGGAAGATTTATCGGGAAACAAGCACGCCTTTTTCAAACATGGTCAATTGTAGGATACATTGTTGCAAAACAACTACTTGCAAATCCAGATGCTGCAAATTCCATGATTATGTTTGACTCCTACAGATTCATGAAAAAATAGATATAGCCAAACCAAACCTACTTGATGAGTTTAACTTTGCAGGGAAAGCAGGGCAGTAAACACTGAATCACTTTGTGTCATTTCAGGGAAATTGGTATGTTTGACTCCTACATATTCATGTTTTGTCCTTATTTTGAGGTTTCATTTCGGTTTTCTTCCTCCTTACTCGCACTATGAGTTGAAGTCCTTTAAACCTTGTAAAATGATTACTTTGTGCTTACTCTTATATGTTTTTTTTATAAACTGTTATTAACAAATATAAATGTAAGGGTGAAATGGCCATTTTACATGGGTCTAACGGACTTCAACTCACGGGATGAGAGAGAGGCGCAAAACTGAAATAAGACGTTGAAATAGGGACCAAAAATGTAATAAAAAGATCCCTTTTTGGAGCTAAACCAAAGAAAATCTTTTTCTTTCTTTTTTAGATTCATTTTATTTCGAGATGTCTATTGTTGTCCAGTGCAGAAGGTAATCATTTACTTTTGGTTGATGTTTACGATTACAACATACAAATGTGCATATGTTTTAGGATTGAATAAAATGTATTGATTTTTTTTGGTAGCTTTGGAGACAAAGATTTGAATTTGAGGCTGGCTAATCCCCTTCATCTTCGGAATCTTCTAAAAGACCCTAGATTCTTGGACTCTCGAATAGTGTTGTTACATGCATCCTACCCTTTTTCAAGAGAAGCATCACATTTGGCATCCATATATCATCAGGTCAAAATTTTAAAATGAAAGGATAAATAAGTGAGATCCTAATTCTGATATCAAAATATGAGGTTATAAAAGAAGTGGCATCATCGATTTCAGGTTTACCTTGATTTTGGTTTGCAATTCCAAAGCTTAGTGTCCATGGCATGATATCAACAGTGAAAGAACTTTTAGAGTTAGCGCCAATAAAAAAGGTGATAATGAGATTTTTCTTACATTTAAAATATTTATTTCCGTTTCCATTTCTTTTTCTATTTCTTGTGTTTGTTTTAAGTCTATCTTTTTTAATACGTGTCATTTGATTAAACTCATTTTTTTATGTTGGAACAAAATGGTATATGCAAGTGATGTTCAACACCGATGGATGTGCATTTCCTGAAACGTTTTACTTAGGTTTGTGAAACCTGAACTATAATAGATTATTTATTTATTTATTTCAGCACATATATAACGAGGGTATTTTGGTCTTCTAATATAAATAAAAAACAGAACTGAATACCTCCCACCCTCCCATAGGAATAGTGAAATCCATCAAACATGTACTTTGAAGGATTTTGACACAATTGAATTATGTCCATCTGGCAACTAGAAACGCCATGGAATGGAATCTTGAATTCCAATTCCGCCGGATTTTGCGAATATAACAAGAGGAATTCAAAAGAGATGTTGGCATGACAGGTGCAAAGAGGGCACGAGAAGTTGTTTTCTCTATTCTACGCGATGCATGCAATGAGGGTGATCTCTCGATTCCTGAAGCTCTTGAAGCTGTTACTGATATCTTTTCTGAAAATTCAAAAAAATTCTACAAGATTGATAGTGATGCCACATCTAGGGTTCTTAGACATGTTTCTGACACCTTAAAAAAGTCCAATAATCAGGAGCTTAACTCTACACAACAAGAGATTGTTCTTGTTCATGTTTTATGGATAGATGCTTCCGGACAACACCGATGTCGTGTAGTGATTTTATATTTCCTACACTCACTTTTTTCACTATCTTGTGTCATTGTTACAATAATGTTTCCAAAATGTACTTACATTTCTATAATCAAAAGCAAAATGTACCTTTTGTTTTATCTATTATAATAGCATGCAGTTACATATTTTGCTACTGATATAGGCTTTGTACTTTATTTGTTTGATATTGCTATTATTGGTAAATAATTGTAACTACATTGCTATTTTGGATAATAATTATAAGTACATTGCTATTTATTATGTGTGAAGAAAATGATAATACATTGCTAGTTATATGGGTAAAGTAAAGTATATTGCCAAAGATTGTATATAAATTGAGGTCATTACTAGACAAGTAGATAGTAATAATACATGTTGTTAGATATATTTAAAGTATAGGGTTTCCTAGTACTTTTTTGATTTGTATCAGAGCCTCTGTTCATGAAACCTTAGCCAGAACCACAGCTGTCGCATCTGCTCCTGTTTCTTGTAATCTATGTGGTCGACGACTCCTATTCCGCGCCTGAAACCTAGTTACCACCATCACAAACTTCGAGGCCATTGCAGTTGATTACTTCTTTCATTATTTTTTTTAAATAATATGTTTTGCACCATTAAAATTAAATGTTGATTGCTAATAAATTTACAGGTGGAAAACCAATGTTGAACTTAAACAAGATTCTAAGGCCTGGGGGTGTTTTTATCTGGTCTGCTGCACCAGTCTATCGTGATGATGAAAGAGATAAAAAAGTTTGGGAATGTGTGTATACAAATTGCGCTAAACTTGTTTTTTTCATGTAGTTTCATTAATAAATTGTTATCCTAAATTTTTTCTTTTAAAATTCCTGCAGCCATGGTTGTTCTGACTGAATGTATTTGCTGGAAAGTAATGGCAAAAAGCTTCTTCCTGTTATGAATCACGTAAAGTAAAAAATCCACCTATATGTGATGAGGATGCACATGCAAAAACTTCATGGTAGATGACATCATTTTTCTACCATCATCATCATCATGATAATCATCATCTTCATTTTTATGTAGGTATACACCCCTTATGGCTATATTTCAAGAATCCCAACAACAACCACATGAATCCAATTACACCACTGCATAACCAAATAACTTGCATTAAAAAAAATCTCTTTCTTTCTTTTTTGTTTCTGCCATGTTACAAAGAACACCACTAGGCCTTAAAGCTTTTGCTAACATCTCAAAGAAAGGCCTTTCCACAAGCTCTTGAGTGGGACCCACAGGATCAAAAGAATCAACGATTATAGCATCGTACTTTCCTTCTGGTATGTTCCTTATAAACTCAACAACTATTGTAAATAATTATATAAAAATTAGATACCAAAGGGGCCAAATTTGCAGTTTACTCTAGTTATAAAAGTAGGTGCAAAATGGTCATTTTACAAAACCGAGTTACCGAAAAAAGACCTCAAAATAAGGACCAAAAATGAAGAAAATAAGATTCCTTTTTTGGTTTAATCTTTGTTATATTTCCTTCAGAACTGACATCATCTAATATGTTGAATAGGTGTCGTTTTCTGGTTCAACTCATCCTCCCAATTCATACTCACTAGATGATCTTCCAAAAACTGTGGTTCAATTACTTATCCAGGGTTCAAATGTCATGTCAATGGACTTCCATCCTCAACACCAAACTATTCCCTTAGGTTGGTCCTCAATCTATTTGCTTCAATTCCTAACAATTTCTCAAATTGATTTAATCTTTTGTATCCTCCTTCCTTTAAAAAAAGAGGTAATGAGATTGTTCATGGCTTTCAGCTGGAACAAATGTGGGTGAAATAAGCATTTGGGAGATTGGAACTCGAGAAAGAATGGTGCATAAACCCTTCAAGGTTTGGGATTTATCTGCTTGTTCAATGCCTTTTCAGGTAAGCTTCTATTACTTATTCTATCATTTTTAACTATTTTGTAAACTGGCTTAACTTTAACATGAATTATCATCAAATTCATGTCTAGACAACTTTGGTAAAGGATGCAGCAGTATCTGTTAACCGTTGCATATGGGGACTAGATAGATCAATACTTATTATAATTTATAAAATTTCTAAATTAACTTTTAATAATCTTGTGTGAGTGTATTAATTTTTTAATTCCTACCATAGATGTGGCCTTTTCCAAGCACATTGTTCAAATATATACATCAATACTTGGTATAATTTATAAAATTTCTAAATTCCCAACTTTTTTTATGAAAACATCAATCTTGCAGAGCAAGCAGGACTGTAGATACAGAATCGTTGTGTAATTGTAGAAAATTTGTTATCCTAGAGTTCCATTGATAGTGTCAAATTGTTCTTGCATATGCTACAACTTAAATGGGATCTTACTTAACTTACCAATGTTTTCCCTTAACTTACCAATGTTTTTATATTTATGATAGAAATGTCCTTTAAAATGTTGGCGAGGTGGGTTATGCCTTTCAAGATCTATTGGAGATAGAGATGTTGGGGAGTTCATTATTCCAGTCCCTCATGTCAAACAAGTGAAGGTTAGTTTAGTAATTAAACTCAATTTATTCCTCATTTTATTAACAACTTTTATTTATTCATGATCTTCAGCTATCTTCTGCTGGTGGGCTGCTTGTAATTTCAAGTGATGGAGTCTGGGATGCTCTTTCCACTGAATTAGCTCTTGAATGCAGTCCCGGATTGGCTCCGGAATCAGCAGCAACACAAATTGTCAAAGTACGGAAACAAAAAAATGTCAAATTTGTAATAAAATATTATGCAATAGATTCTATTTTTTGTATATGATATTTTGTATGACATTAAATTTTATGAAATGAATTATATTTTTTGTATATGATATTTTATTTTCTATTATGAGGCATTAAATGCAAATTTAATTTGAAAATTAGTAAATCTATAAAAAAAATATATTATTTTAAACATTTAAAATTATGATACGTAAAAATGTGTGTCATCTTCATTTATGACATGGCCTTTCTTGACAGGGGCTTTCTTGATACGCATTGCGTGTCATTAACACGCGTGTCGTAAGGTTACGACACGCGAATGCGTGTCGTCTTCCTTTATGATAGGGCCTTCCTTGGTACGCATTGTGTGCCGTAAACGCGTCTCATAACTGCGCGTCGTAAATGAGCATCGTAAATGCGCGTCGTCTTTCTTTATGACAGGGCCTTCCTTGATGCGCCATTTGCGTGTCGTTTGAGCCTTTTACGACGCGCAATGAGCGTCGTAAAAGGCTGTTTTTCTAGTAGTGGATAACCAAAAGTCTCTTTGTGTTAAAAGCTATTAAAAGAACACATAAGTTATAAAATGAAGAGTCTTCATTTTAATGACTAATAAGTTATGAATGTGAAAGGTTTTGTAAAGTTACAAAACTTGCCTTCAAGTTTTGGAACATGTAAAGTCACTTAATAAACTTTAGTTCCAACCCTTAGATTTTTACAAGTTAAAAATAAACCCATATACTTTATAATATTATAAGTTTATATATATATATATATATATATATATATATATATATATATATGTATAAGATCAAGTCGTCTTACCGCTAGTATGCCTCATTCACGAAGTCGGTCTATAAGGGGGGTATAAGGTTGTTGCCTATAAAATGGCAACTTAATGGGTGTCCACTCTCACCCACCGCTTCCTTGATCGGTGGAGGGTCATTAGCCGAATGGGTAGGACAAGGACTTATAAACTTTCATTAAAAGTATAATGAATATTATAAAGTAACTAAATGTTTTATTAAATTCCCAATCTTAGTTACTTTAGGAAAAATGTGAATAAGGTGCTAATCCATGAAATTACACTTTACACTTTATTTAAGTCGTTGGTGGAGCGTGTGTGGTTAACCGGCACACTAACTTGGACTTAACAACGGAGGTAAAGGGTGACTTAAGGTTTATCATAGTATCGGCAGAGCGTGTGTGGTTAACTGGCACATCGATTGAGTGATGAATTTTAAGGGTACCAAGTGATTTGCATGGTTACTTCACACCTCGTTTTGTGATCCTCGGTATCCCAGTCACAAAACTTGGAGGGCACACTCGAGATTGAAATATGTCTTTGAAAAGTTCATTGAATCTCAAAAGAATCTAAGAATTTCTAAGAACCAATTAAAAACCTAATATTTATATTTCGTTTTTCATGGTGGAAATTGATGACTCGTCATTCACCTACCTTTCAAATATGTTATAGCTTGAATTACGACATACCTCTTCTAAGTTATAATATCTTGTGATTGGATCTTAGCCTTAATATTACATTATAGTGTTTTATTAAGCACTCTCTTAATATCTAAACTAATCTTGTCCTCTTCTTTCAGATGTCTTCAAACAATGCTGCTTCTGGCTCTAATCCTAATGGCTCCTTTACCCTTATGAACTTGTGTGGGAAAGTCACATTTGATGGATCCAACTTCAATGAATGGATCAAAAACATTAGGATGTTTACCCGCTACGAGGACAAAGAATATGTCCTCGATAAGGAGCTTAAGGAGATTGATGAGACCACTGCAACTCCCTAGGAGATCGCTGACTTCCGGGCACATGAAAGGGATGCTACCAAAATGGCATGCATCATGCTGGCCACCATGACAACAGAACTCCAAAAGTCCTATGAGGACTTCTACTCTTTTGAAATGCACCAAGATTTGATGGAAAAATACCATCAAAGTGCACGACAAGAGAGGTATGAAATCATCTACTCCATGATAACAACCACGATGAAGGACGGAGACTACGTCACGAGCCACATGCAGAAAATGCAAAGGTATGTGGATCGTTTGTTGAAGCTTAATGTGAACTTCCCTGAGGAACTTGCAATAGATATCATTTTGCACTCCTTACCATCGTGCTATGATCAATTCCGCATGACATACCACATGAATAAGGAAGAAGTCACACTCAGCAAACTTCAGGGACTCCTCAAGACCGCAGAAACAGGTCTTAAAGGTAAGTCGGTTCTTAACACTCCTACTCCTACTCGAAACTCCGCCCCTGTCTTGGCAATCGAGAAAGGTAGAGGGAAGAAGAGGAAGAGCTCTTCGAAGGGTACCAAGGCTAGGACCCTTGATGGCTCTTCTTCAAGTAGAACCAAGAAAGGTTTCGTCACTCCTTCTTCTGACCCAAAAGAGGTTAAATGCTTCTATTTCCATGAAAAGTCGCATTGGAAGCGGAACTGCCCAAAGTACCAGCAAGATGTGAAGCATGGGAAAGTTAAACCCAATCATGCAGGTATTTACACTATCTTATCTAATAACTCACCATATTCTAACTCTTGGGTCCTTGATACCGGTTGCGGAATTCATATTTGTTTTGATTTGCAGGGACTAAGAAGAAGTGAGAATGCGGAGCATGGAAGAATAAACTTAATCATGGGGAATAAGAAAGCTTTACCTGTCACCAATATTGGAGTTTATACTTTATTGCTAAGTAGTGGGTTTAATTTAGATTTGAATAAATGTTGTTACTCGCTAGAAATGGCAAGAAATATTATTTCCTTTCATGCATTGTATAAACAAGGTTTCACCTTTTCATTTGATCATGAAGTTGGTTCGATTAATGCTTTCTTTAATAATGTTCTTTATTTTAAAGCATTACCTTGTGATGGTGTGTATGAAACTGTATTTGTGGTTGATAACTTAGGAAATAATGTATTTTTTATTGATTATGTTAATGATAATAACTTGGATAAAGCATCATTATGGCATTTTCGTCTTGGACATATAAGCAAGAAACACATAGGCCAACTCCAAAAGGATGGAATCTTGGAGTCATTTGACCTAAAGTCAGATGATAGTTGCGAATCATGCTTACTTGAAAAAATGACAAAGTCACCCTTCACTGGTACTTGTGAGAGGGGTGAAGGTTTGTTGGATCTTGTACACACAAATGTGTGTGGACCCTTCAAACATGCCACAAGGGATGCTAATCGTTATTATTTGACTTTCACTGATGATTACAGTAGATATGGATATGTCTACGTAATCAAGCATAAGTCAGAGACTTTTGAAAGGTTTTAAGAATTTAAACAGGAAGTCGAGAATCAATTGGGCAGGAACATTAAGATGCTTCGATCCGATCGAGGTGGTGAGTATCTTAGTTTAGATTTCCTTGACTATCTACGGGAATATGGGATTGTCTCACAATCGACACCTCCCAGGACACCGCAGTTGAATGGTGTGGATGAGAGGCGTAATCGAACCTTGTTGGATATGGTTCGTTCCATGATGAGTCGAGCTTTGCTACCAATCTCATTTAGGGGGTATGCCTTAGAGACTGCCGCCCCTATCCTTAATCAAGTCCCTAGAAAGCAAGTTGTCAAAACTCCTCATGAGATATGGACTGGTAAAGTACCCAAACTATACCACATCAAGATTTGGGGTTGCGAGGCTTTTGTGAGACGCGAGACTCCTGATAAGCTCAAACCTCGAAGTGAGAGGTGTATTTTCATCGGCTACCCACATAAATCCTTTGGTTACTTCTTCTACAGACCTAGTGAAAATATGGTCTTTGTAGCTAGGAGGGCTGTCTTGAGAGAGAGAGAGAGAGAGAGAGAGAGTTCATAAGCCAAGGAAACAGTGGGAGGCAAGTTGACCTTGAAGAAATTCAAGAGTCAAGTGGTGAAGGAACTTCAAACCCTAGCACTCAACCTGAGGAGGAAACTCCTGTTGAGCCAATTGACAAGTCTATACCTCTGAGGAGTTCCATGAGAGTTAGTAATGCACCTGAACATTACTATGGTTTCCATATTACTGCGGAAGGTGAGACACTTATCAGTGATGAGACATTGGTAAGTTTGGATGAACCTAACAGTTATGCGGAAACCATGGCAAGCCCTGAGTTAGCCAAGTGGAAAGAGGCAATGGACAGCGAGATATAGTCTATGTATGACAATCAAGTTTGGAACTTGGTTGAGAATGTACCAGGTCGTAATACTGTAGGGTGCAAATGGATTTTCAAGAAGAAGACCGACATGGATGGTAATGTACACACTTATAAGGCACGACTGGTTGCAAAGGGTTTCTCTCAAACTTCGGGAGTTGATTATGATGAGACCTTTTCTCTAGTAGCCAAGATTAAGTGTACTAGGGTTACGTTAGCCATAGCTGCATTTCATGACTATGAAATATGGCAAATGGATGTAAAAACCGCTTTCCTTAATGGAAAGTTGGCTGAGGATGTTTACATGAGTCAGCCAGAGGGTTTTGTCAATACAGAGCACCCTAATAGAGTGTGCAAGCTTGAGAAATCCATTTATGGATTAAAGCAAGCACCTCGCAGATGGAATCTTTGCTTAGATGAGAAAGTCAAAGAGTTTGGCTTTTCTAGGAGTGAAGTTGAATCTTGTGTCTATGTCAAGGCTAGTGGGAGTATAGTTAGCTTTTTGGCATTGTATGTGGATTACATACTACTCATAGGAAATGACATCCCAACATTGCAGGAAGTTATGTCCTGGCTTGGGAAGTGTTTCTCTATGAAGGACCTAAGAGAAGCTGCCTATATTCTAGGGATAAGGATCTTGAGAGACCGGAGTAAAAGACTAATTGGACTTAGTCAGAGTACCTACTTGGATAAGGTGCTGAAGAGGTTCAGCATGCAGGACTCCAAGAAAGGAGAGTTACCCATCCAGAGTAACGCCAGATTGAGTAAGACACAAAGCCCGAGTACTGAGGCTGAGATAGCATAAATGAGTCGAGTACCTTATGCTTCAGCTGTAGGATCGATCATGTATGCTATGACGTGTACTCGACCTGATGTAGCCTTTTTTTTAAGCATGGTTAGTAGGTATCAGGGGAACCCTGACAAGGCACACTGGACTGCGGTAAAGAATATCCTCAAATACCTACGGAGGACCAAGGATTGGGTCCTTACCCTCGATGGGAGTGATGACTTGAGAGTTGTAGGGTATAGTGATGCTAGCTTTCAGACTGATAGGGATAATTTCTGCTCTCAGTCAGGTTGGGTCTTTACCTTAAACAGAGGAGCAATTT